ACTGTTAAGGTAAGCCAAATAAGTTCTAATTCGCTATTTAAACTTGATTGGAATACTATTCGTGTAGGCGATATAGGCAAAGATAATGTACACAAATTGCATGTGTTGTTAGAGAAGATGGCGGTTTGTTTCTCTGTAGGCGATGATGATTTAGGCGTGACTACTCTAGGGGAAATGAGAATACAGTTGACGACAGATAAGCCAGTGGTGTATAGGCCTTATAGGTTGTCTTTTGCTGAACGGGCTATGGTTCGAGAAAAGGTGCAAGCCTTGTTGTGTTCAGGTGTTATACGGGAGAGCGAATCGGAGTATGCAAGTCCTATTGTACTGATTCCCAAGAAAAATGGCGATGTCCGGATGTGTGTTGATTACAGGGCGTTGAATTCGATTACTCTAAAGGACAGATCCCCTCTGCCAAGGGTAGAGGATCAACTTGATAGATTGGCGAATAAAAATTATTACACTACTTTAGATTTGACCCAGGGTTATCATCAGGTTCCAATGCATGGCGATTCGGTGGCAAAGACGGCGTTTGTAACTCCGGATGGACATTATGAATACCTGAAGGTGCCATTTGGGTTGGCGAATGCTCCGGCGGTGTTTCAAAGGGTGGTTAACAAGATGCTTGGCGGTATGCAATCTGATTTGGTGCTGGCGTATATGGATGATGTTTTAATACCTTCAGCATTTATAGAGGAAGGTTTGGTGTTGTTGGAAAAGGTACTTCAACTTGTAGCCAAGGCGGGGCTTAAGTTGAATCTGGCGAAATGTATCTTTTTGGCGAATTCATTGGAGTATTTAGGGCATGAAGTGAGTGCTGCCGGTATTCGGCCGGGTAAGCAGAAAGCACAGGCGGTGGAAAATTTTCCAGTTCCTACTAATGTCCACGGCGTAAGGCAGTTTATAGGTTTAGCAAGCTACTTTCGGAAGTTTGTGAAGGATTTTGCTATCTTTGCAAGACCCTTGACAAATTTAACCAGGAAAGATGCTTCATGGCGTTGGGGCGATCCTGAACAAGGTGCTTTTGAAAAACTTAAGGCGGTGCTGACGAGTAGACCAGTATTGGGTTTGTACGATAGCAAGGCGGAAACTGAGCTGCATACGGATGCTAGTAAATTAGGCGTGGCTGGTATTCTAATGCAGAAGCAGGCGAATGGCGACTTAATTCCGGTATCTTACTATAGCAGGGCTACCACGGCGACTGAACAGTCTTGGCATAGTTATGAATTAGAAACATTGGCGATTGTTGAGTCTGTAAGGCGTTATCGTGTTTATTTAATTGGCATTCACTTTAAGGTGGTAACTGATTGTTCAGCTGTTAGGGCGACTATGGTGAAGAAGGATCTTCTTCCTCGAATTGCACGATGGTGGATGACTCTACAGGAATATGACATGGCAGTTGAGTATCGGGCGGGTCACAAGATGCAACATGTGGATGCCTTGAGCCGAAATCCTGTTGCTGAAGTTCTTATGGTGAACTTGAGCGAGGAGGATTGGTTTTTGACGGTCCAGATGCAAGATCCCAAGGCGCAGGCGTTGGTAAATGGTTTGACTGAAGGTACAGCTGATAAAGGCGTAAAAAGTGTGTACAAAATGGCGAATGGGCGGTTGTATAGGAAAACTTTACTTGGAGATCGTTTATATGTACCTGCAATGGCGAAATTTAGCTTGGTACGTAAGCATCATGATGACATTGGTCATCCAGGCGTTGACAGGTGTTTGGGTTTGTTAAAGCAAACCTATTGGTTTCCTAAAATGGGGCGTTTTGTTAGGAAATATATTCAGGCGTGTTTAGGGTGTGCTTTCGGCAAAGGTGATTATGGCAAGGCGAGTGGTCTTCTGCATCCTATCGAAAAGGTGGCGATTCCTTTTGACACTGTACACATTGACCATGTGGGGCCATTCTGTCGAAGCAAAAAAGGTAATCAGTATGTGCTTATGGTGATTGATGGGTTTACTAAATATACACTGGCGAAGGCGACGAAGACATTACGGTCTTCAGAGGCGATTCTCAAATTAAGAGAGGTGTTTGGCGAATTTGGATATCCAAGGCGTATTATTTCTGACCGCGGGCTGGCGTTTACAAGCAAGGCGTTTGCTGAATTTTTGGCGGGGCGAGGTGTAAAACACGTGTTGAATGCAATTGCTACACCAAGGGCGAATGGTCAGGTTGAAAGGCAGAATCGTACTTTATTAAATGCAATAGAGGCAAGTGCAATATCTGAAGTTGATTGGGATGAAGGGCTCAATGAAATTGTTTGGGGTCTCAATCACACCGTTAATCAAAGCAGTGGGTTTTCCCCGACCCAGCTGATGTTTGCACACGATGATGGTGTTAATACGAGTCTGTCTGGCGATGTGCAAATGGCGAATGCACCCCTGGCGAAAGGCGAGACTTATGATGATATAAAGTCTAAACTTCTTTCACGGCGACAGAAAGCAAGTGAAAACCTGACAAAGGCGGGGCGTAAAATGAAGGTGGTATTCGATCGAAGGCGTAAAGTTGCAACTGCAGGCGGCACCTCCAAGGTAGGCGATACCTATAAGGTGGGTGATTTGGTGTTATGGCGACAGGCTGGAACTTGTTCAGGGGAAAAAGGTGTAAATCGGAAAATGATTAACAAGTTCGATGGTCCATATAAAGTGGTGAAAGTATTAGGAAATGACAGATATGTCATAATGGCGGTAAAAGGCGTAAGGGGTTATAAAGCATTTAAGGCTGTTGTGGCGGTTGATTCTTTAAGGCGATATTATAGTAGCATGGCGAGGCTATTAAAGTGAGCATGATGATAGTGATGGCGATGGCGATGGCGCTGGCGTAGATCGCCAAGATCTGATTGATTTATTGGAGAGTTAAATTAATGAGGGCATTAATCTCTTTTTCAGGATGGCCGAATGTAACCAGTAATTTTCCAAGGCGAAGGAAAATGGCAACGTGGCGATGGACACGGCGAAGTAGCATAGGCAACGCTGCAAGCCACAGAGAAGAACTGGCGGGCGGTGACTTGAAGGAGGATCTATGGTTCGGCATCGGCGGGTGACGGGGTGTTTTTTGGCGGTTTACTGGTGGACTCGTGGACTGGTGATATTTTTTATTATTATTAGGCGTTTAAATTGTTCTTAGTTAGTTTAAATAAAAGGCGTGTTTACAATATTATTAAACGGCTCCTTACAATTTACATTACACAAACTCAAGCTTAATCACTACATACACTTTAAGTTATTTTAGAAAATTATGAAAAAATCCGTCATTGTTTTGAGTACATAAATGCATCTTTTTAAAACTGAATTTCTAGCTATTTTCACAGAACGACCGGTCGACTTAATTAAACTTCTCCTATACCGCCTCTTCGAGTGCCTTTGTTAATTCAGAAGTTCTTTTGTAAACCTTGTTGTTAGCCATACCGCATATAAAAATAAAATGGATAGGTCAGGTGATGAATTTAAGTTTACTAACATGTCTTGAAAACCGTCCTTTAAAAACCGTAAGTGACGTTTATCGATCAAAGTATCCTCGAAACTGTATAGCCAAGAAAAGTTAAACCAATAATCGTACACGCTTTTCTTCATTTGAAAAATTCATATTTACAATTTTTGTTTATTTTAATTTACATTTTTAATTATTTTTTTAAGTTTGGATGTGACAGTTTCACATTTCTGAGAGCAACGACGATTGAACTTGTTTCCATGGCTATCTAAGTGAAATTATTCAAGAAAGATAAGAATTGGCTATAACTCCGTAATTTTGTGAAAAAAAATATTATGCTTATATCGCTGAAAAGCTTAAAAAAGGCGCTTTTTATGAAGTCATGGCCAACTATGGTTTCCATTTAAAAAAACATATGTTTGTGTCATATGTCAAAAATTACAGGCTTTAGAAAAAATAGGAGAACACAAACTCATTAGGGATGTGATTATCTACAACTTTTATCTTTTTTTTTTTAAATAGATTATAATGGAATTAGGGACAATAATTTTTAAAATAGACAAAATTTGTTTTTTTTTTAATATCTAAGCCATGAACTTTTTCAAAAACCTGAAAGGCGCAAATTTATGACCCCACAAAACTGTAATTCGTTCCGCATTTAACCGACTCTATCTCCAGTAGTTCCCGAGATACCCATAGAGACCATCTGTAGTTTCCTCTTGGCTTAAGGAAACAAATAAACCATCGACGAAATAAAATGTTCAGTGGACTGTATACTTTCGGTTTATTGTCACTTGAAATTACAAACTTTGAGACAACTAACTAAACAAAAATTATTGTCTCCTTATAAAACATCGAGTCGAATTAAAAAACAAAGACGACGCGTTTGGTCTAACGTCTTGTGCTCGACTGCTGCCTGGGGGCCTCGCTCTTCTTCGGCTACCGCCGCAATGCGACGATGTATGGAGACGGCGCAGTTGCCACGTATAGCACAAATAATTATTCATATTGCCCCCCGCCTTGAAAGTCTAGAGCATCTTTCAACACTTAACTAGGTATTACTAGAGCCAATACACTTAGGTAAGGGACAAATTTTAGCAAATGAACGCCTGATAGTGCCTTGCTTTGTTCTGATGGTGGCGACACGAGCTACTCCGTCCTTTCCTGGATGGGTCTCCACTATTCGTCCAAGCAACCATTGGAGGGGAGGCAGGTGGTCCTCCTTGACTAACACCAAATCGTTGGCCTCAAGTAGGCCTTGTTGCGTTGTCCACTTCTGCCTTTTCTGCAATTCGGATATGTATTCCAACGACCATCTGGTCCAAAAATGCCCCTTCATTTGCTGAATTCGTTGAAAGTGGGATAAGCGATTGGTTGGTACTGCTGTGTAATCTCTATCCGGTACGGATTCCATAGGTCGGCCAATCAAAAAGTGGGACGGAGTTAAAGGTGTCAAATCACAGGGATCACAAGATAAAGGACACATGGGACGCGAGTTGAGGACAGCCTCAATTTCTATCAATAGCGTACTCAGATCCTCGAATGTTAATAATGCGTTTCCCGCAACGCGTTTCTAATGATATTTGACCGTTCGCACGCCCGATTCCCACAACCCACCAAAGTGTGGAGAACTAGCTGGAATGAATGACCATGAGATGCCTTTATTCTCGATAGCTTCGACAAGTGAATTTGCATTATTCTGCAAAAAATCCGCTAATTTAGATAACTCATTATAAGCTCCTTTGAAATTTGTACCGTTGTCTGAGTACATTTGTGCAGGTTTTCCTCGCCGACCTACAAAGCGTTTCAAAGTAGCTAGAAAGGCTTCTGTAGTTAAAGCGCTTACCAACTCTAAATGCAGAGCCCTTGTGGCAAAGCATACAAACACCGCAATATAAGCCTTTGAAGTGCGACAGCCGCGTCCCTGTCTATCCTTGATTAGGAAGGGACCAGCGTAGTCTACGCCAGTTACGTAAAATGGAGGAGATGGTGTGACCCGCCGCTTTGGTAAATCACCCATCACCGGGCTAATTTCTTTGGGACAATTTCGAAAACAAATTACGCATTGATGGAAAACTTTACGAGCTAAACTACGTCCTGCTATTGGCCAATAATTTTCCCGAATAACAGCTAATAAGAGCTGTGGGCCAGCATGCAGTAGCTGTTTGTGTTCACGAGCGAATGAAAGCCTAGTAAAATCATGTTTTGAACACAACACAATAGGATGTTTTTTCTCGTATACGTAATCTGAGTTGTTTAACGTCCGCCGACACGAATTAAACCGTTTTCATCTAAAAATGGATGAAGTTTTGTTAATTTACTTTTATTAGTTACTTGCCCTTGCTTGGACAATGTTACAAGATCTTCGGAAAATGATTGACGTGGTGATAACCTAGCTAATACTAACGACGCATGACTTATTTCATCACAACTTAAAGAACTCGATAATCTTTCGCCCTGTTTTTTACGACAATTATTTATAAAACGAACTAGCCTGGATAACTGACAACATAAAGACCTTAATAAATGAAAAACAAAAATTCTAACAAAAATGGCTCTCAGACAGAACAGAGACTAACTGGGGTCATTACAAGCAAAAAAACAGAGAGGTACGAGCCGCTATTAAGGTAGGAAAAACGGATATGTGGAAAGAAGATGTCAGCAAGTGGAAAGTCTACTAGGGGGCGCACGGAGTACTGAGGTCTGGCGAACAATCCGACAAATGAAAACCAATCAAACGGACAAGCTCTTGAATAAAATTGATATAGGAAAATGGCGCAACTACTATGCAGAATTACTAAAAGAAAACCGACCAGAATTCCAATCTGCAGAAGAGGAAGACAACCTTGCGGGCACTTTAACGATCAGCGAAAGAGAAGTACATCTAAGTCTCAAAAAAATGAAAAATGGACGGTCACCAGGTCCTGGTAACATTGCAGTAGAATTGTTAAAGTGTGGGATCGAGAAATTGCGCTGGCGCCTGGCAGAGCTGTTCAACCAGTGCTGTCTGCAAAATAAATTACCCCAAGAATGGAGAGTGGCTCATATAGTGTCTATCTTTAAAAAGGGAAATCGCAACGACCCCGGTTGTTATAGAGGCCTGAGCATTAACAGTTCAGTGAGCAGGCTTTTTGGAAAAGTTCTGCAGGTTAAGCTCAGGGATAATATTGGTGACAAAATCTCGGAAGATCAAAACGGATTCACACCGGGGAAATCTTGCACACATAACCTCTTTGTCCTACAGCAGGTGATGGAAAAAAAGATAGCAGTAGATCAAGAAGTCCATCTAGCGTTTATTGATTTGGAGAAAGCGTACGACTCTATTCCTCGCAACAAGATATGGGAAGCCTTGAATATTTTAGAAGTAGATAGACCCCTACTTAAGATAATAAAAGAGATCTATAAAGAAAATAAAGCGTAAGTTAAGATAGGACACAGGCTATCCAATCCAATAAATACCACAAAAGGGTTGCGACAAGGATGCAGCTTATCACCTCTAATATTCAATGCTTACGTTGAAGTAGCCCTTAGGGAATGGAAGAGGAGATGCCAAGGCATGGGAATACCCATTGGGGAACTGTTTACTCTGAGCTTTGCAGACGATCAGGTCGTGATTGCGCAGGACTCTTTCGATCTGGAGTTCATGACTAAGAGGCTTTACCAAGAATATAGCAAATGGGGACTTCAGGTTAGTCTAAAAAAGACAGAATACTTACCTGTCAATTCCAACGCTTGTTTTGAAGTCTTCACAGATTATAACTCAGTGTCTAACGTAGATGTATTTGCAAAAACGACCCTTTTTAATTCTGGCAACTCGTTAGATCTGGACACTACAAGAGGCTCAGGCCAGCTTTCTATGGGTTCTCGAAGCCAATCTGGTCCTGACCAATACATTTCGAACTCTAACAACTCCTGAGGCTTCACGCCACGTGACACACAATCAGCTGGATTGTCCTGGGTTCGCACATGTTTCCAATTTTCAATATTTGTGAGCTCTTGGATTGAATTAACTCTATTGGCGACGAAAACTTGCAATAAATGCGGAGAGGTGTTTATCCAGCCCAAAACTATCGTCGAGTCGGTCCAAAATGTGATGCCATTAAACTCAATTTCCATGGATTGCCGAACCTTTTCACAGAGACGTGCAGCGAACACAGCTGCCATAAGCTCGAGACGCGGGACTGTCTGTACTTTTAAGGGAGCAACCTTTGATTTACCGCACAAAAGCTTGACAAAAATATTACCATGATTATCGATCGTTCGAATATAAACACAGCTTCCCAAAGCATAAGACGACGCGTCCGAAAATACATGAAGCTCTACAAGCTTTGCATTCTTACAAATGACTTTCCTATCAATTTTCAAATTGTTCAAAAATCTTAAATCATTACGAATTTGTAAGTATCTTGTATATAATTGCTGGGAAAGGGCATCGTCCCAATCTAACTTTTCCAACCAAAGATCACGAAGAAAAGTCTTTACCAAGATTACGCAACAACTAAGGAGACCAAGAGGGTCGAAAATTTGGGAGATTTCTGACAATACGATTCTTTTGGTGACCTTGGAATTTGACTGATTTCCAACCGAAAAGAAAAAATTATCTCCTTCGCCGTTCCAACGCATACCCAATGTTTTGTTGTTTTCCATGCAACCAATATCAACTACTCCATTGTTATCTGCAGATTCGATTTCCTTAAGTATAGAGGGCTCGTTTGACACCCACTTGCGAAGAAGAAAACCACCACCTTTTAGAACTTTACAAAGTTCGTTAGCTAAACTCAGGGTGTCTTCAATAGTATCTCCACCAGTAAGCACATCATCGACATAAAAATGATTCTTTATTGTGTTGGCAACTAACGGAGAAACTTCTTCAACTTCGATTCCCAATTGGTACAAGCACCTAGTGGCGAGAAAAGCCGCCGTTGAAGTCCCATATGTAACAGTGTTCAACTCGTACACCTCGATATCTCCGTCTGGACTGTCACGCCACAGGATTCGTAACAGGCACCGCTGACTAGGATCGATCCACACCATACGATACATTTTCTCAATATCAGCCGCCAAAACGTACTGAAATTTACGAAAGCGCAACAAAATAGAGATAAGCTCACACTGAATGGTTGGGCCAACCATCAAAAGATCATTTAGCGAGCAACCACTGGTGGTTTTGGCACTGGCATTAAAAACAGTTCGAAGTTTGGTAGTAGACGAGGACAACTTCAGAACACCATGGTGAGGAAGGTAAAACGAAAACTGAGATGCACTAGGATCGGACACTTTTGTCATATGTCCTAGGCGTCGATACTCATTGACAAAATCACGATACAAATCACGATACTCATGATCGCGCTCGAATTTTCGTTCCAAGGATAGAAATTGCTTTTTGGCTGCATTATACGATTCGCCGAGCTGGCTTAGGCTGCCCTTGAGAGGCATTGAAACAACGAAACTTCCATTGGCCGCTCGAGAAAACGTATCGACGAAATGTTTCTCACAGGCAATTTCCTCGACAGATTGTGGTTTTCTAACCACGCCTTCCTCTATTTCCAAAACCGCGATAACTGCCTATCTATTTGCTCAGTTTTAACAAAATTGCAAACTGTTGTACCCTCCAAGTTATTTAGCCGAGGCACATTTCCTAACACTATCCATCCGAGTTTGCTTTTCTGCAAAAATGGTCCATTGGGCCCTAGTTTGATCTGGCCTACACATAACAAATCTCAGAAAGAATCGGCTCCAATCAGCATGTCAATAGGACCACTTGTGCAGAATGTAGGATCTGCCAACGAAACATTTGCAGGAATATTCAAATTTTGACTGTCGACCTTGAAATTGGGCAATGACCCTGTAACGAGAGGGATGACTAAACACGATAATTCCAACGAAAAGTCATTTATACGGGATTGGACCTTAATATTCACCTTTGCAGAAACCGCAGACTCAGTTTCGTTCAAACCACAAATGTTGATATTTACTTTAGTTACAGGTATTGAAAGCTTGTCCACAAATGACCTTGACAAAAAACTACTCTGCGATCCAGGATCCAATAAAGCGCGTGCTGTAAACCATTTATTGTTTTTTTCCAAAACCCTAACTACCGCAGTTGACAAAAGAACACCATCATTTTTATGCGAAGCGAAGCTACAATTCACAGTTTCCTCCTTTTCTGCAGTAGAAGAACTGGTAGCAGCGGCAGCAGCGGTCGTTTCCGCCACCTTTTCTCGATTTATGTGCAACAACACGTTGTGGCGAAACTTACAAATTTTACCAACAATCGAACGACAATCTTTTAAAACATGCCCAGCTCTCAAACAATTCAAACACAAACGCATTTTTTTCGCTTCCTGAATTCTCTCATTCACACTTAAATTTACAAAATCTGGACAGTTTTGTATGAAATGCTCCTTTTTACAATAGCAACACGATTGCCCTGTCGCAACAAAAGACCTTGACCTACCTTGCTTATTATATTTGGATTCCATCCCTGCCCTAAATTTCGAATTTGACTTTTTGTCAGGCTTTGCCTGCTCTAACGACTCCAAAAATTGGCTCGATCTCGAAGAAATTTAGTCAAATCTGGCAACAACGATTTTTTGGACTCACCTTTGGCACTTTCTCACTTTTTTAGTGACATGGAATCTAATTTAGACGAAACGAGATAAATTAACAAGGTGTCCCAATTAGTGGTGTCTTCCCCAAGAGCATTTAAAGATCTTATATGCTTATCCACATTATCTGTTAAGTCTCTTAGCACCGAAGGAGATTCTTCCTGAATCTTGTCTAATGTGAATAAACCGCTAAAGATGATTCTGAATCAAAATTTTGTTATTATTATAACGAGCATAAATTAAGTATTATAATAACGAGCGTAATTAAGCCTCGTAATTTGCCCCTGTAAACCCTAAACTCGCGATAACTTCCAACACTTTAGGCGCCAAAAATGATCATAAATAATGAAATTTTTGTATGTCCGATAAGGCATCATTCTCGTGAATTAACGATACATAGGTATCACGGAACTCTAACCACTTACCGTATTCACCTGTGAAAGTGCGAATCTCGATGGTTGGAACTTTAACTCGTTTAAAATCCTGAACCAAATTTTGCAAAATATTTGTATTTTGCGTGGCTACCGAGCCCGCAACGGACCTACCACTACTTTTCACGTTATCTATACTATCATCCGCAAGAAATTATTTAGCCTTGGCCATCAACCTAAAATAAGCATCATTAAAATTTCCTCATACTGCGAATTTACCGAAGCAAGATCACAAGACTCTTTGATTTCGTTTTGCACTAACTCAAATTCATCAAAAACCTGTGAAAACCGTTCATAACGCGTTTCCAAGTCTAAAAATGCAACGCGATCCGACACGATTTTGTCTGGATACGTGTTTTCCAAATTAGCGACATATTTTTCAAAATGAGTGACCTTTGCCTTAAATGATCCGCGTTTTCGAATAAGGACATCCATATTTTCGACTACTACACTCATAATTGTTACGAAAATCAAAAATCGGGCTTACGAAACGATCAAAATTATCAATAGGCGAAATAATAACAAAATATTTACCCCGAAATGAGTAAAACGACGAAAAACAACTAATTACACTATTGATAGTAACGAAAATTGCCAACTACTAGGAAGCAGAAAAAGGGAATAATTTGGAATGGACCCACCTTATTTACCGACCGAACGCCAGTTCAACGATCCAAAATGGCGGCAGGCAGCTCTTGCAGCACAGCAAGTCGACGACGAAATTCCAATCCAATTATCCGGACGAAGTGACCAAATGTAGTTTCCTCTTGGCTTAAGGAAACAAATAAACCATCGACGAAATAAAATGTTCAGTGGACTGTATACTTTCGGTTTATTGTCACTTGAAATTACAAACTTTGAGACAACTAACTAAACAAAAATTATCGTCTCCTTATAAAACATCGAGTCGAATTAAAAAACAAAGACGACGCATTTGGTCTAACGTGTTGTGCTCGACTGCTGCCTGGGGGCCTCGCTCTTCTTCGGCTACCGCCGCAATGTGACGATGTATGGGGACGGCGCAGTTGCCACGTATAGCACAAATAATTATTCACACCATCGTAGGAGACTCACCCTGTATTATATAAATTAAAATGTCCGTAAAACTCAGGCAGATATTCAATAGCGTCTATATATCTACATAGCTCTCCATTTATATCTCCAAGAATAGCAACTTCCCGTACTTATTCCATTTTTTATAAGTAAAGAGAATGTTGGACAAGAAATCAAGAATATGCCTAACGTTATAACGGTAACGGATATATTTACGACATATTCGCAGAAATCTAATTTATCCCTCAAAATACCTTATTTATTACCGTATTTACTTAACGTTACAGGCACGAGAACTTTCTATTTACATTTTTTAATACTGTATCAGGAGGTTGAGGTATATGCTCACTGGCACAATAACCAAAACTGTTATTTCGGCCTTCGGTCAGATCATCAAAATTCTAAGGTACTTCTAGATGTGTCAAAAACTCCAAATTTAGAATTTTAGGTAGCTTTAAGCTTATAACCAAAGGAAAAAATGAAAAATCTCCAAATATCCTTATGGATTAAAAGTTAGCTGTCTAGCCGCTATCGGTAACTGGCTTTCCAGTCGAGAAAAAGGTAGAAAACTAGAATTATTCGGAGCGGTCTCTGATTTTACTTATACAGGGTGGCCCATCGAAAACGTTCCGCAAGGCATAACGGCTAGGGTATTTTTTTTTCAAAAAATCCAAAAACACGTCAATTTTGTTTGTGAGGGGGACAACTTTTGCCCCAAAAATGATTGCAAAATCTTCAACCCTCTAAGCGGGGGTGTCATCCCCCAACTTTTTTCAAATGGGAAGGAGAGTCAAGTGGTGCCGCAATGAAAACAGCTTTCTATTCTCTATATTTCCCCGCCTGGTTTTGGAAAATCGATCGAGTCATTGAGAAGATATGAAGGATTGAAATTTAAAAAGTTTATTTAAACATTTATCAGAGTAAATGATAAGGATAAATTCCTTCCACCAATTTGAGGTTTTTTCTTATTATTTCTAGATGTTTACGCATTTTTTCACTTGCCACAAGGTTGAACGATCAGGTGCGGTAGTTGCTAGATAGCTGTCCTGTGCGTAGCTAGCTGTTCGATAGCTGTTAACTTGTGCGTTGAAGTTCTTCTCAATCTCAGTTAAACTGACCCACAATAGAATTTCCAAAAATACCAGCCCACACGTTCAATTTCTGAGGGTTTTGTGTGTGCACCTCGTGAAAATCCCTGGGATTGTCCTCAGCCCAGTACCGACAGTTGTACCGATTAACTACACCTTTCAAAAAGAAAGTACACTCATCCGAAAAACAAACATTAAATAGGAAATTATTATCATTCGCCCCTCGTTCACTCATAGTTTCACAAAATTGCAAGCGACGATCAAAATCGTCTTCGTTGACTTCTTGTACCAACTGAATTTTTTACGCGTGTAACTTGTGTTTTTTTAATATCCTTTAGACACTTGTACGATTTACGCCGGTCTCATTGGCTAATTTTCTTGTACTATCCATGGCAACTTGGCCCAATACGAATACCTCCATAGCTTCATTTACTACAGGAACCAGTTTTGCGAAATTTTGCTACTAACTCGCGAACAAGTTTGCCATAAAGGTGTTTGTCAGGATGGCGTTCATTGAATATCTGCGCAACCCTATTGCCACATACATTATTTTTAAAATAAAGTTCGATTATTTCTACTTTTTCTGCAAGTGAGTACACCAAAATTGTTAAAAAGTTTGACGATATTGAGAAGAACTTTAACGCATAAGTCACAGAACAGCTATCTAGCAACTACCGCACCTGATCGTTCAACCTTGTGGCAAGTGAAAAAATGCGTAAACATCTAGAAATAATAAGAAAAAACAGTAAATTGGTCGAAGGAATTTATCCATATCATTTACTCTGATAAATATTTAAAAAAACTTTTCAAATTTCAATCCTTCATATTTTCTCAATGACACGATCGATTTTCAAAAACGAAGCGGGAAAGTATAGAGAATAGAAAGCCCTTTTCATTGCGATACCACTTGACCCCCCTTCCCATTTGAAAAAAATTGGGGGATGACACCCCCGCTTAGAGGGTTGAACATTTTGGAATCATTTTTGGGGCAAAAGTTGTCCCCCTCACAAACAAAATTGACGTGTTTTTGAATTTTCTGAAAAAAAATTACCCTGGCCGTTATGCCTTGCGGAACGTTTTCGATCGGCCACCCTGTATATCAATGTACCAACAATAATTCAAGGATTATGATTTTTTTCTTGTCAGACTTTAACTTGTAATGAAGTCCCTATTTATTTTTTTAGTTTAATATGTTAAATGCTAGGCTTGAACATATATCGTGCAAGGTTTGATAGCGGTGCGCGGAAGTATTCCGC